TAATAATTTATTAAAATAATATTATTTTAATGTATTTTTCACTTAATTTTTCTTAATACAAATTAATATCTACTTTTTTTTATGTTACTTAATTTTTAAATTTCTCTAATAAAATCATATTTTTTTTAAAAGAATTACCCTTGAAAACAAATATTTTTTTTTTTGACAAAATAAAACAAATGTCTTTTAAATATAGACAAACACCTTCTCCGTCTCCCAACATCTTGACCCTTAGGCGTGATGAGGCACATGCACATTGTCCTCCCACTTGGTATTTTTTTGGTGTGTTTGAAGTTGATTGAATTAAATTCCATCATAAATTAGGCTCCTTAGAGATTGCTTTTGAGAATTTTTATTATTATTTTTTATTTACCCTTGTTGAACTTGGCCTATTCTTGATTGTAACCTCTAATTGTATTTTATGTTCTAACATTTGTTCTTATATTTTAGATAAAAATTTTTTTATGTAGATACTGTAAGTCGTTCATCTCAACATATAAATTCTCCTAAGTTATATAATTGTTTTATGTAGATACCGTATGCAGTTCATTTTTTATTTCCACTAAAAAATGAATAAAGTTAAAGTAGGTAATTTGGTAACTTTAATATCTTTTCCACTGATACAAAAAGAGACTAATGCAGATACTTTGATGGGGATTATACATATTAAGTCCTTTTTATAGTTAAATGATTTAATTAATGATTATGAATTCTCTTTATACGATTAAATTTATAATTTTAAATTATGTATTAAATCAATAGTTATATAATTATATCATTTTTCTCTTCTTGTGGAGGGGTGCTAGGGACACTCACTTTCTGCACTATCCGGTCAACACTTTCACTTTTATTGAGCCACGTTATTCTGGTCGGTAAGAAGTTGCACTTCAAAGCTGAAAACAAGCTTACCTAGCCCAATGAAAGGGGAAGTGTTGGCCGGAGAGTGCAAGAGGTGAGTGCCCATAGCACTGCTCTTTTTGTATTAGTAAGACTTGCCCCTGGCACTGCTCTTTTTTGTATTAGTAAAACTTAATATGAATCGATAAAAATATCCTTTATACTTTAAATTAATAAAATTTATTTAACTGGTAAAAGAAATATCTTTTCTACTGCTTCTTCTTTCTTTTTTTTTTTTTTTATAAGAATCTAACGAATTTTCAACGATAAAAAATTAGTAACGTGCTTGACTATAAAATCTAAAATTTTATATTATCATAACAGGTAACACTTGTCACTTTCTATAAAACAAAAAAAAGTACAATAATTAGGGCGTTAGTGTTGTACCTTGCATGCTATTATTAACTTGTCCACTGCAAAATTGAATAAAAAGTTAAAGTAGCTTTTTTATTTTTAGTTGATAAGTTTAAAGTAGTTTATTTTGACAGCATTAACATTTTTTTCAGTGTAAAATTGAATAAAGTCGGTATTAATGATTTTATCAGCCAATGTTT